CAGTTTCCTCTGCTGAATTTTAATTGGTTTTGTAGGTTAATGTGCCTCAGAGAAAAGCTTCATATCTTCTCAATTTATTGATTTCTGAGTTAGCTTTTTTGACTTTTTATTGCAGTTGATTTTGAATAAGGTTCTCCTGCTTGGCTCAGCTACTCAAACAATTGTTGGTAGGCCTATTGTGTCACATGCAGCTGTTTGTGCAGTTGTTGAGGAGCATGTAAGTGTCTTACCTGATTTTCATCATTATCTGCCTCTGTAACCCATTTGTGGTTTGGTCATGTTAACTAATAGAAGTTTTATCAGTTTTATCACATTTCCTGAAAGCTGACTCTTTTTGAAAGAGAAAAAAGGGGGGGAAGGGGGGGAGCATGCTCTTTAGAAAGAACTAAATATTTCTAAATCTGAATACTCTTTTTTTATGCTAAATGATGTGATGGATTTCTTATTTATAGAGGGGAGGGATAGAATTTTTGAATTTCAGGGAAGAAAAAAAAGTGTATGGTTTTTTTATTCCTATGCTCTTTTATTGTTCTTAGTTCATTGGAGTAATTTAATTATCATAGTTCTTTTGTTTTCTGACAGGCATTAGATGCAAAGGTAATTATTTTCAAGAAAAAGAGAAGGAAAAATTACAGGCGAACTAAGGGACATCGCCAGGTATGCCAAAGAACTTATGTTTAAACTGTTGTGTCTTGCCTGATCAAACTTAAGTTCAATCATCAATCATCATTATTTCTCTTGTATTCTGCCAGGAACTGACCAAGTTGAGGATAACTGATATACAAGGAATTGAAAAAGCAGAACCAAATGCTGAAGGAAAGCCTTTAAAGTTGGCTACTGAGAAGCCAGAGAAGCTCATGGCTGCTGCTTAGGAAAGGATGTCACCAGGGCTGTTTATTGTAACAAATGGCTCTCCATGATTCAATGTATACTTGTGATGTCCATTGAGGTCGAATTTTACCAGCCAAGTAGGCACTGGTTGTGGGGATGGTTTGGTTGAAGCATGCTTTGCTCTTCCAAGAGCTGAGGTCAAATTTTGTGTTTTTGCATTTCTTGTTCATTTATTTGTATTTAGTAACCTAGATGGTGGGATTTCACTTAACACACTCCTTCCCAAGTACAACTTTTTCCAAGTTCACAGGTATGTTCTTCATCCATCTTTTATGTTTGCTATAGGTATGTTTTGAGTTTTCTCAAGAAAACTCTTCGTGGATGTGGCCTTGATGTTCGAAACTCCCACGGCTTCATGGCAAAGAATGTTTGATGGAGATGACGGCAAAGGAAAACTGAGCACAACATCTCAGTTTCATTATGTGTTCTACCATCTTTTATGTTTGTATTTCTGAATATTATGAGTTTTTCTCATAAAAAAAAAAAAGTTTCTGTATTTGTGAACTCCATCGCTTTATGGCAAAGAAGTTTGGTGGAGGAGCAAAAATCACAACTCCAGAATGTACTGAAGCAGCAAAGATCCACGGACAAAGCTGCTGCAATGGTGGAGTTGCTGAAAATGTTTAAGGCTCTAGAATTTGTTCAAACAGCAAAAATCTAATGAAGATGAAGCTGATTTGTAGGAGCTAAAATATTTGAGAAGATGGTACTTCGCAGCAAACAACAAACCAAACCGAAGGACAAAGAATTGAAAATGGCAAAGTCAATGTGCTAAAGTAAAATATTGTTTCTGCAGCTTTAATGCCAAGGAAGAGTTTGTTGGAGCTATGGCATGAAAGTTGAAAATGCAGTGAAATGAGAACTGCTAAATGATGCTGCAACATGATTGCACAGTAGCAGCAAATGACAGCAGCATGGAACTTCACATGGGCTACAAGAAATGGCAGCAGATTTTATCATTTTAGTCGATGTTTTAGGTAGTTAATAATTATTATATTAAGTAGAAAAATGATATTATTTTGTGTAGCCTTCCTCTATAAAAAGGAAGGAAGAAATTAAACGAAAATTGAGAAAGAGAAAGCATGGTTGTTGGTAGAAAGTCCAATCCCATGTGAACGCATAGACTTTCTAGTAAAATTTCTTCACCAACCTACCTAGTTGTGGGTAGAAAGTCCAATCCCATATAAACACATAGACTTTCTAGTGAAATTTTTTCACCAACTTACCTAGTTTTGGGCTAGCAATTGTTTTGTTGAAATCATGCAAGATTGCATGTTAACCCATTTAATTTGTAAAGAAAAATGGTGCATGGGTGGTTGGATCTTTTACTATAAATACCCATGTATGCAAAGGTAATTGGCAAGTAAGAGTGAAACCAAGCAAGAGAAGAGCTAAGTTAGTGGATGCTCTTGTGAGAGAAAAGAAAGAGAAATTGTGAGAAATTTTTGTGAAAATTAAGATAGAGTATTAAGGAGAATTTAAGAGTTTTTATACATTAAAATTAAGGTGTTGAGAGCTTTTTGAGTGAGAGAGTTTTTAAATTATTATATATATATATTTTTTAATAGTGGATTTATTTCTCTCTCTTTCATGAATTTAAACTTGTTGATAAGTATACAAGTCGAATCACGTTAATTTGGTTTCCCCTCTCTAGTTGGGTGAATGCCTGCACCCTTCCATGTATATGGCTTTTATGTTCTATGTTATGTCATATTGTTTCTGCTATAAATAGCAGAATATCAATGGAAGAAAATGGGTTTTAACCTCATCAAAAGAAGGAACTCCGGGGGGTCTCTCTCCTCCTCTAAGTCCTCTCTCAATCCCCCTTCTTACCTCAAAAATCCAACACCAATGATCCATAAGCGCGTGCCTAAAATGAAACTCAGACCGTAGAGCAACTAAACAGAAATGAAACTAGCATGTAACTAAACCAATTCTCATTCTCATCAATTATAAAAAGAGCCAGCAATGTATTATCAAATAATCATGAATCACACTAAAGTATTCATGCTACCAGCCGATTATCAACTCATCTGAGAATTATCATGCGCATCTGGATTAAAGGCAGGATTAATCCTCAAAATCAAAACAATTCTTACTCTCTCGAAACAAAACAATCACTCCTCATTTCTCAAAATTATCGATCACAACTTTAATTTTCAAACGGTTATAAAG